TTTTGTTTTTTAAGTAAATATCCAGAATCAAGTATACGGTTCATGGGAGTGGCATTTATCGAACTAGAGTGATTGTAGGGTGAGTAACTGGCATTTTGCCTTACCTCGGATCCACGGCCCTTGTGGGCGCTCACAGTGGCAGGCAATTGATCATCGGAAAGTATTAGCGGGGAAGTCGAGGGACACTGGAATACCTATTTATGTCTCCCCTACCAGTTCGAAGAATGGGTTAACCGTACCTCGGATGAGTCTGCTACCCTCGCTTACTCGTCGTAAACCGCCTCATTAGACAACCGTTGATCACGTGACGAGTGGTGTCTCACGTCCTTCCTCCTAATGTGGAAATCAGGGCGGATACAGATGGCGTGCTTTGGGCTGCATCTACTCCAAGTCCGTGCATGGGCCTTGCCGGACAACATGAAGGCATACTCTTTGAAGGACTTGTGGTCTCAGTCTTAGACCGAGAGGCCTGGGATTCTAGGCCCAAATAGGAAGAATTAACTCTCCGACAAGGGACAGGCTAGAGTTCCGAGGATCCATAACAGGCCCGGCAATGCCTTTTCAACCCTCCATGTCATTATCGTGTTTCGTACTTCAATGAGATTCAGTAACACAATTTGTCAAGAATGAAATAAAGTTTTAGCCGGCGGCCATCAGGTTCATGTCTGACGCCCTTTGCGTCAGGGTCATCCGCCCTCGCAGTGAGCGATTCCAGACGCGCTGACCTACAGCCACTCGGCCGACCTCAACACGACGCACGTGTATCCACAGAGTTGCAGCTGCCCATGCGCTACGTAAACGCACCCCCCCCGCTGGACACAACTTGAGCCTGTTTCCCAAAAACCTCAAAAGCAGCTGCCACCGCTGTCTCAAGGGACTCTCAGGCCTGACAGGGCTCAGTGAACACCAGCCCTGGCTCCGCCAGCGGCCACTGCCACCTGAGAGGACCACTCTGGGTTCTGTATGCAATAAACCCCTCATTCTAGTGCCTTCTGTCTTTTCCTACAAAACTGGATTTGGTCTGATGATTGTAACGTTCTGGGTACACTCACCGCTTAGACGCTACAAATTCCCTCGGCGCTCAGACTGGACACCATAGCTCACAGCTGACTGGACTTCCTGAACTCGACCAACTTTTGCAACTTACTAATGCTCGAGGACGTTCAACTCGGTTTCTTTCAATGGAATAGGCAGAAGACCAAGCGCACGCCGGAAAGCCTGCCGAGATACCGTTCCGTGGT